CCCGCCCCCCACCACTTTTTTTTTTCCTTGTCGACAGCGCGAGAGATGTCTTTTTGTGTGTGTGTGAAACATCACCAACCCAGAATCAACACCCGAACACAAACCATTATGTGTCTTTCTTTGCATGCAAATACTTTCTGGCAAGGGCCGGCTTGGCATTTTGTATTGTGGGAACATGAAGTGACGAGGGGCCAAGCGGGACGGGATCACTGTGGAATACTGTGCCTCGCTTGTTCCCGCAAGGTGTCGGGAATCGGGCGGATTGAGGCCGGGCCGCTTGTGTGCTCTGGAGCATTTCTCACAGGACAAGAGAGCAAGAGAGCAAGAGGGCAGGCGGCAGGGCAGCTCCAGCTCGGCACTGTAGCTGCAGTGTCTTGACACTCACAAGCTCCCGCGTATGTGCGTTACAGCCAGGTGTCAAATACTTGTCTGGACTGTGACAAATGCCACCCGCTAGTCTCGCCGTAAGTACCTGCAGGATGGCCGATGAAACATAACTGTTCGTGCTCCTCAAGATCAAAGTCAAGCACTGGAATGACAGCAAACTTCATTTGACTTGAGTGCGTGTCCTCTGATGACTCAAAAGTGACCGCAAAAAAAAAAATAAAATAAAAATAAAAATAAAAAGGCGAGTCGACTGCTAACGTGTGGTGCTTACACTTCAAAATGAAGTGATTTTAATCGTGTCTTTAAAACACTCGCACTACTTTGTGTACTTTTTATTGATCAGTAGCTCTGTTGGGAGCGCAGTTCAATGTCGTCATCGGCAATGCATCAAAAACGTTTATTTAATTAAAAAGACAACACACAGAGGTTTGGCCACCCAAAAAAAAAAAAAAAAACAGCCCGGAGCAGCTACACTTAGATAATAAGTGGAGGAGTTGAAAACTTACCTTGGCTGGTTTTACTTCCTGAAGCAGGCTGTTGGACAAAGGCGACCAGGCAGAAGCCAACAAATCCAAGGCTCGCTGGAATCAAACCGTGCACATACATGCTCACTTTGCCTGCAGTTGAGCACTTTAGCCAAGATCTACGAGGTGCGGGAGCACGGCGAATCGAGTGCGCGCCACCAAATTCTCCTGTTGTTATTCCTCGTGGGCGCGCGCGACAAGGATCCAGTGTGAACCCCCGTTTTTTAATTTAATTTTTGTTCATTGTTGTTGGGGGTTTTTTGTTTTTGTTTTTGTTTTTTGAAAAACGTATTCAAGCCAGTTTATTTTTGTTTCAAGTTGTCGTCATTGCGGACACTCCGACAACGCGGAGCGCAGGGAGGCTTATCTGTTATCGTGTTTCGAGGCAGACCAATGTCATTTCGAGAGAGAGAGAGAGAGAGAGAGAGAGAGAGAGAGAGAGAGAGAGAGAGAGAGATGAAGCAGTGCGCCGGACTTTGCAAGAAAAGGGGAGGAGAGATGCGTCCGCGATGCACTACGAGCTGTTCCTTCCCCTCTAACGCAAGAGCTTTCCCTGCCTATTTTTTCTTTTATTTATTTATTTTTACCGATAAGCTTCATGCAGGTGCTGCTTACCTGGCTTTTTTCGCGTGCCTGCCCTTGATGATTGCACATGCGCAAACGCGGTCAATCACACAGATAGATAGATAGATAGATAGATAGATAGATAGATAGATAGATAGATAGATAGATAGATAGATAGATAGATAGATAGATAGATACCTGTTGATACTGTTATCTCGGAGCGTGATCATTCCAAGGTCATCTGGCGATGTGATACTTGTTGGAGCAATGCAGAAGCATTTCTTCACGAAGAATTGAACCCTACTTAACTCAACCAATCTGTACATTATCTAAGAAAATGCCCATGGGGGAATTATTTAATTACCAAAAAAAGAAGAAAAAAAAGTCCTGCTGTAATTGGTTTATTATGCTGAAATGGTTCCAGCTGTCGAAAATCCAGATCAAGGTGAATTAATTCCTCAGGTGGTATTGCAAACAATCAGTAATTGTTTACAGAAACAGTGATGAAAGCTTTTGATAATCACCAAAAGCAATTATGTTCTGTGTCATCTGGTTCCAGAACCTTGACAAATACCATATTATCTGTGTATGGAGGCGATGCAGCTCCACTGTCACACTTCCCTCTTCATACCCTGCCAGAAACCAGCAGAGCACATTTGGGCCGGATTGTACCTAAACGACACGTGAAACTAGCAACATGTGGAGTTTACAAGTTAAGGGGATTTGAGATACTTTTCGCTGGCAGCCATCAGTACTTTGGCTTTGCAGACCACTGCGGCACTCCGCATTCACCATCACCGCCAAGAGGACTGAGACTTGACCAGTTCCATGAATCTTCCATCCATCCATTTTCAAGACCGCTTATCCTGAACAGGGTCGCGTGGAATTGCTGGAGCCTATTCCAGTTGACTTCGAGTGGAAGGCGGACTACACCCTGAACTGGTCGCCAGACAGTCGCAGGGCACATATAGACCATTCACACCCACATCCACACTGTCACTGAGTGGGAATCGATCCTACGTTGCCTGCACACAAATCAGGCAAGTGTCCCACTACACCATCAGCGACTTCCATGAATCAAAATCTCTCAATACCGTATAAGCACCACCCACAGTGTGAGTGTGCCACATTGCAAGGACAGTGAGTGACATTTGTTTTCAAGCAGCATTCTGTAGAGGAAAAATAATAATCCTCCCGACACTTACTTCCGTCGTCCACATTACGACCAAAATCAATCAGTTGTTGGTGCATTTGTGTTTGACATGATACTGGAAGGTCAATAATTATCCCCGCTGCTTCCATGTATACTTTTTGTCTATTTCATCAAATATAATTACAACCTCAAAACGAGGCCGAGTGAAAATAATTCTACCTTCATGGCATAATGCCAAGAGAGCAAAATCTAAAAATAGTGATTTACAGTCTAAGGGAGGAGAGGTGATCATTTTTCATTATCAGCTGTCTAATCAGACCGTTGCCTGGAGCAGCATTCATCTAAAATAATGTCACCCTGCGCAAGGAACATTCAAATGAGCTCAGTGTGTGTTTTGCCACAAACCAGGGGCCTCGTTAAATGAGACATCCAGCACAACAGAACAATCTTCTCGGAAATCCCAGTTTGCATCCACACGAGCAGTTAAACATGTAAATGTGCACCACAAAGCCAAAGCATTCAGTGTAATTAAAATAACTCCCATCAGGGATATGGATGCATATCGCATGTCCTTGTGTGCAAATCTCTGGATAATGGTGAGCTCTTGTACAACCAAATGAGCTCCGAGAGCCACTGGGGGAGTCTGAGAAAGTCACAGTATGGTTGCCACACAGTCTGAGCAGTGAGTGCGGCAGTGGGATCTGTGCACTTTTCATGGCAACACTTCATTAAAGACAGGGGGCTGTGCACGGGCATCACGCTGTGCACCAAACCAAAAGTTATTTTTACGTCGACAGACGCGCAAGGGAAGACCAGGCAATGTTTAATTTATGAGTCACATCATAAAATCCACACCGGCTATGGAGGAGTGGGACAGCAGGAAGCCGCCCAGAGACCTGCAAGTATCTTTAGTATTCATTTTCAGTTTCGTAGGTAAGAAAGAATTTATTTTTATCACACTTTCCCAGTTTCTCATTTTCCAGCTATAGAATGTAAAATGCAAGGGGGGGGGGGGAAACAACAACTATACAGTAACCACGACAGGCTACATAACAGGACTACCGACTCCAACAAATTGTTAAAATGCAGCAAATCATGCACATGCAGTGGTAATGACAGAAATAAAAGCCATGACTGAACTGACCAAGAATATCTACTGGAGGGGGCCATAATTTTTCATCAGTGCCACATAGCACCACGCACTTCCTAACCAGATGTACAGTATGACAAAATGCTATTTTAAATATGGACAAAATACGGGTGATACATGCAAAATATGTAATCATCTTTTTGATGAAGAAATAAAATATCCATTACCCTAAGGCAACAACAAAGGTTGTGAAGCAAACAAAAGAAAATAACTGCTTTTTTTTTTTTTTTTTGGCAATGCATAGGGCTCTCTTGCATTAAAATGACCATTCAAGGATGGCACAAAACTGCCGAACAAGAAATCAACAAGAATCATTTTGTGCACTTTTATTTCATGATAATCAACTCATTCAAAATCTTAATATTATCTGAGGCACTATTTTTATCCTACATAGCATTCCAAAGCCTCAAAAAAAAAATCATTAGACCTACTCACCTTGTAGTGTAGGGTAGGATAATGTGATGTTACAACTTAAAACTACAGTCGATCCCAGCATATTTGCAGTGTGGCATCCATGCATTTGTATATTCACAGATTTTTTTTCTTTTTATATATTCTTTCAGATTTTGGAGGATCCGCCCCACTCCATTTTTCTGTTCCTACTCAATTGTTGATCAGCTTTTTTTTTTTTTTTTTAATATATAATTTTCTGAGTTGTTAAAAGTTGCCCTGATCTACTGTTTAGACATTGGAGCTCAATTATTCCAAACGGTATGTGCCTTGGGAAAACCAATGGAATTCTAACTTTACAAAAGACAAGACAAATATGTGGCAACCAGTTGTCTGAAAGACTGTTGTTACAAGCTGTGTTTTCATTTTCACTGACGTGTTGCACAAAGATAATGCTCCAACAGCTGCTCCAGGAAGATAAACAGAAAATGGATGCATGTTGGGAAGCGTGTGGAAGTGCCCCCGCACTCGACTACAGCGCTACACTAAGCAAGGAGCCTTGCATCGACCCTGATGTTCTCTTCCGGACGGTCATAGGCAGAGAAACATATCGCAGCTCCACACTTGCTTTCTTCTCACAGCCAAGGCTCAGAGCTCAGAACCTTCTCCACTTCACCCCAACCCTCCTGGCGGGGGCTGCAGACCAACATCGCCGCGGGCCCAGCAGGATCTCTTGGTACTCACCATGCAAGCACCGCAGGGGAGCACAGTGGCTTTTTTTTTTTTTAATAGTGCATGCATCCAGGTCAAGGCTGTGGGCTTGCCCAAGGAATGTTTCCAGACCACAGCCTCAGTTGTTGGCACACATTAACGTGGCGCAACCGAGGCCGAGTCCAAGAGGTGTCGCACATAGACAACCTGTCTGACTTAAAGGCACAAACTTGCCTGTCAAAAATCTCATTTTGCAGCATCATTGCCGAAAAGAACTCCTGCGGAAAGAGAGTCATCAAAAAATATACAAAAATAAATAAGCATGTGCGTTGCTCCCACTTTTTTTCAACTGAGGAGTCCTGCTTTCATCCTTGTCTGGCCTACTTTCGTTCTCAATACTAACATCACTTCATCTGATGATTCTTCCGTCTATTTATTGAGCCCATCAACTTGGAATATTGTCTCTTAAATCGCACACTTTTGCTACTTTCCACTACATGTGTATGCACGACTTTCGTCTCGCTGTCTGACCTGTTCCCACTTTGTCGAAATGGCTTTTCTTTCAGTGCACCCGTCCACCACCCTAAATCACAAATAAACTAAACTTTATACTACAGGGGTCGGAGGGATCATCTGAGTACAGTAACGGTCTCGAAAATTTTAATGGCATTCTTAGTAAATAAATGCATAACTGGCTTAAGCTTTTTGCAAATGTACTTTTGGACAAACATTTGAAAATAAGTACAAAAAGACTTTCAATCCCCCTAAAATTCATCCAACCACTTTCTGTAAATATACAAAGCCATCAGGTTGAGGGTGTCGTCGGAAGATCCACATCCCAAAACACCACTTTTCTGACTCTGGAGCCATTGCTACAGATGTAATTAACTTTGTTTGACTTTGTGGCCCTGTCGACCACGTCCCCTTTGCATGAGACACACCTTACCATTAATGGGCTGAGCAAGTATGCCCAATCTTTTGACTGACACTTTATCTCAAAAGTGGGGGAATACCAAGTTCCACAAACCTCCAGACTGACAATGGCCATGCACACAAAAAAGGCTGTATGATACAGGAAGGAATTATAAAAATAAAGCTGATCATCTTACAGATATGGAAACAGAGCGTTAATTGGCAGCCTGGTGGCGAAGTGCAACAAAAATTGTCAGCAATTAAAAGTATTTAAACATTTGACATGAATGAAAGTACAACCAACATTTGTAATTTTTTGTATAAAAATCATTTGTGGTCAAGGACCGTGTGAATGGGCATCGACAAATTCTCAGTGTCCTCTCTGTGGAATGCCAGGAAACTAATTCCTGAAGAAGTCATTCGTCATGGGATTCACATACTTTTTCAACCTGCTCTGTGAAAGTTTACACGTGTCTACAAAAATAAACAACAACAGCAACACTGAATTTTCCGTTCCA